AAGTCGTTGAGGGTGTTGGCCAAGAGCAAGTCGTCAGTGGAGTGGGGGGTTTTAGGCTTGTAAAGAAGATCAATCTAAACATGTTTTATATTTTAGATGCTTGAAGCCAGGTTGGTATCATGTCAGTCATCAGTGTGACTCAGTGACGACCCGCCTACACCACACACACCCTTTGCTGCTTCTGCTCTGTCATAAATATAGAAAATGACCTCATTTTATATCCTTTTGCACCATTTCAAAGCCCAGTGTATTCTGCCTGTGCTGACAGAGTGAAACACTAAAGATATTTATTCTATGGAAAATCTTCATTTTTTTCTTTTGGTGTTTTATTGTTGTGTAAAATTAAAACGCTGAAGCAGCACCTGTGAGCTCGTCAGCAGCGCTCCTCCAGGTAGCAGCTGCTGTCAGCGTGACAATCCGGGGAAGACGTCGTTGGCTCTGATGAGTGTGTGCTCGTCTCTTTACTCTAATGTTGTTTCTCCTCCCTCTGTGCAGAGCTTCCCAGGATTTCCCTCCTGACTGGGATGATCCTGACTGGGATGGTCCTGACTGGGATGGTCCTGACTGGGATGGTCCTGCCTGAGCGTTGATGCTGCATGTCTGCTTCTCCGTGGAGCACAGCTTCTATTTCCACATTTGTATGAAGCATGTTTTTAGTGAAGTCACTGTAAATAAAGGCTGACTGTGATTCCCCTGACTGTGAGTCCACTTCGGTGTACATGACATTATGATACCAATGATAGCCGACCAGACTGATAAAGCTGCTGATATCGTGGAGGAAGGTAGCTGTGTGGACGGGAAGCAAGGCTGACGCTGGAGATGGATGCTAGCTGTTCTTCCATGGTGCAGATAGAAATGGAGTAGGGGAAGCCTTGAAGGTGGAGCATGTGAACAGTGTTGTGGAGGTCAGGAGAGGGTCAGACAGGATCATAGCGAGTGGTGATTGGAGCAGAGCTCTGGCATCCAGGTGGAGGGAACAGAGGTGACGGAGGTGCTGGGTGGGCTTGGTGTTACAGAGAGAAATGAAACTGTGATTGTGATGAAGGTGCACACAGGTGGGCTACATCTAACACAGAAAGGGGAAAGTGAAAGCTAGGAGACTGTAAGGTGGTGTCAGGGGAGGATGTATACCTGCAGCATTTAATGGTAGGATGACTTTGAAGAAGAGGAGGTGAGTGAAGGTTGATAGCTAGGTGGTAGCTACAGCAAAGACAAAGGCTGACAGTCACCTTCATGTGACACTGAGAAAAGAGATTATATCTGAGAGACGAGGAAGAATTATGGACCAGGAAGTTCAGAGGAGGAGGAAGGAGGAAGTGAGGGCAGCCATGAAGAGGAGGAGGCAGCCGGTCCACGTGACAAACCTGTGCAAGTATGGAGGTGTCTGAGAGAGAGGGCTGTTTAACCTGATTATTTAATGTGATCTGAAGCGAGGAGGGATAAACTGATGACGCCACGAAGAACGACAGCTGTTGCTGAAGCTATGCTAAGAAGACGTGAGTTTGAATACCCAGGCCAACCATCCAAAGCAACTGCACAGGAGAGACCAGCTGTGATGATGTGATGATGGGGAGACAGTGGCACTGACACAGCGACAGATTTTTAGGGAGTCTGACGTGCTGGATTAAAAGAGTACATGAGAGAGTCGCCTCAGGTTAAGCTGTTTGGAGACAAAGTTAGAGAGGTTGGGTGGATTTTAACCCAAACTATGAATCTGACCAAAGCAGCAGAAGATTTCGACCCCACCAGCCTCCTCATGCAGACTGTGTGTCAGTAAAATGGAGCCATCATCCCTCAGAGGCCAGTGTCACCGCTGCTGCTGCTCCGAATGATGAGGTCTGTGGTGCAGAATCACGAGACACAGGCAGCAGCTGACAAAGCAGCATCACGCTGAGCAGGAGACGACCCTTCAAAATAAAGCAGGAAGTGCAGTGGGACACAGGAGGAAATGCAGCCACACTCATTAGTGATGGTAAATTTGATTCTTTTTACTGAATCGAGTGTTAATGAGTCACTCACCAAAGTGAATCGGATGTTTTGAGTCATTTGATTCACTGAGTCAGTTGATCAGAGAGTGCAAAAATTTTACATTTTCACTCAAACTTAATTTGTTTCCCTTTTCATGTAAATCCCACTGCTAAGATGAATGATTAAAAAAAAACCCAAAACAACTATTTTATAGAGAACAAAGAGCAAAAACATTTCTAAAATTAAGCAATTTCTTATCCAAATTGCTTAATAAACATTTATTTTGTTTATTTGTATTTTATTAGTATTTTCCTTAAGTGTGTCAAATATATATTTTCTCATCTAAATGTCCACTGCGCTGTGAGCCAGGGGGCGGTAATGCGCCTTAACATTGGTTGCCAACCAAGAAGAAGAAGAAGAAGCTGTGAGCCAGGAGGGAGGGGGTGAGTAGCTCAAATGTGCTGTTAGCATGTTAGCAGCGCGATGCTACTCTGAACCGAGGAGCTATTTTCTTGATGTGAGCTTCTACTCAGGGTTTTTTCTTCCAGTTCAGAGCAGAAATGCTTTTGTTACGAAACTGGCTGTTGTTTTTCCCCCCACAATTTTAATTATAAGCTAGATATATTTCTACTAATGGAATTAGTTTGCTAACAGCAACAGGGATGAGTCAGTGAGTCAGTTGGGCTTGTGAATCATGATTCACGAGTCAGTAAAGTGATTCTCGAGTATTGAACGATTCGTTCACGAATCGAACATCACTAACACTCATCAATATGTGAAACAGTGACTGGTCTGAGTCCTTCAGCCTCTCAGTTTGATTTTAAAGCACACAGCTTTAAAAACATAAACCTGTTTAGTTTCCAGCACCAGGATGCTGACCTCAGTGACCTCTGTGACCTCAGTGACCTCTGTGGTTGTTTTCTTGCTGCAGTCCTGGATAAACCCACAGGGTTGCAGCTCTCTGCTTGTGTGTCATCCGTCTGACTCTTCTAAAGTTCACAGACAGCTGTTGTGAAATCGTTGTGTTGAATTTCCTCCTGCAGCAGCTCATCACTCTGCTCTCTCACGTTTACACTTTGAGAGTGTTAAACTCTGGGTCAGGCTCGGCTGTCGGGGTCGGACCCGAACGCAGGACTCAGACGTGAGACTCAAAAGCAGCTTTACAGCATAAAATCATTTTCATTGTTGGGCTCGACTACGAGAGCTTTGATGACTCCGAGTTTACAAAAATGCCACATTAAGCTTCTTGTGGATAAGATCTGTGCTCCCTCATGTTCCTGAGGTTTTTCTTCATCTCATCACTTCTGCTTCCCCACACTGTCACGCTCTGACATCATCACTCTGATCATCCACTCAGTCTCTGCTGCTCATCCTCTGATCGTCTTTCACCCCACACTTCACTCTCTTTCTCCTTTAAGACAACTCTCTTCTTATTGGCTGTCCCTCACAGACAGTCATTTAGTGCATGGGCGGGTCATATTATTAAGTATGTAAACGCAGCTGACCTTTGTATGTACACCCAGCCCTCCTTCAGCCATCAGATTAGTGTCAGTGATCCCTGCCTCACTGGCTACGTGATTTAAAACAATCCAAAGTTGTTATTTGATTATTATTTGATTATTCGCTGCGTGGCGAAAACTCACTGATGTAACTGATCTGGTTTCTACAGTAAGACAGGAGATCTGACCACCCCCCACCCCCCACCCCCCAGCCTGGAACCTTCTCCGCCTACGACGACATCATCTTATATCTGCATCAGTCAATAACACAAAACTGTCAGAATGTAAATTACATCACATTCCAAACTATAAAAGGAGCATCTGTATTCATTAACCACAAGAAGTGAGCAGCAGGAAGAAGAACAGGCGTGTTCACAGAGGCCGAGTTTCTGTTCTCAGATCACACAGGAACTGTTCAGACACTTCGCGCTGTGTGAGGATGAAGGTGAACATCTTCTGCTGCCTGTTAGCCTGCACTCTGGGCTCTAATGTCGCTGCAGGTGAGACTCTTTGAGCTTCTTCTGAGATTGGATGATGTAGAGCGTCGTTATTCTTCCTGATTTCCTGATTAAGGTTAATTTTATGAAACTTGATTTAAAAAATCAAAACATTGAGAAAGTCTCCAGTTATTTACATGAGGATAAATGTGTGATGTTACCGTGTGTCCACAGCATCTGAAGGTTTATGTGATTCTGAAAACTGTTTGTTTTTGCAGGTTTGACCCATGAAGGAGTTAAGGAGGGGACGCAGGTCACTCTGCCCTGTCCTCACTCTGTGAAGGGTGGAGTGAGGTGGAGCAGAGAAAGTGGAGGAAGCAGAGCTGACATACTTACAGCTGATGGAGACGGAGACAAAACTAAAAAACACATCAATGATCCACAGAAACGACACGGTTCACAGGCTGACGGGTCTCTGATCATCCTCAGAGCTGCTCTCTCAGACTCTGGCAGATACTTCTGTAACCATGAAGCAGCTGTGGAGCTGACAGTGATCCCATCAGGTAACATCAAACATTTTAACAGTTGACCTGTTTAAAAATCACGCGTCTTCCATAAAAAAACAATAACTGACTCAAACGAATTCAGTGAGAATGAAAAGCTGCATTTCAGACGTGTTTTTAACTTTAGTTGCAGCTTTGTTTTGTCACATGTGCTTCCTGTTACTGTCGATGAGTTTCTATAAAGTAATAACTGTAATGTTCTTCATGTGTAACCTCACATGCTGCAGTAACCAGTGAGCAGCTACATAATAATAAAAGTCTTATCTCTGCTCTCTGTAAACTCAAACCAGTGTTTCTGAACTTCAGCTGATTTGATCACACTGAAGCATTTTTGGGTTTTTGTGCAGTGACCGACTTTATGTTGACGATGTCATTCTGTCTTTGCTTTGACATCAAAAACCTAAAACGCCAGCAGAGATAACCGGTATCATCACCGAGTTATGGAGTCAGAGCGCAGACTTCCTGTTTGAAGTGGCGGCTCGGGCCAGCTTCACACAGCCTGTAGTAGCTGTGTGCTGCCACCAGGGGGCAGTGCGCAGATATACTGTGTGGACTCGTGTCTGTCTGTGCTGTTGTTGCTGCCTGAGCTCCAGTTTGATGGAAACAGATAAATAGAAATGGATGCAGTGAAAGAGTGAAAACAATGAACGCTGTCGGCTGCAGCCCTCTCTGTGCTCCCTGTCCTCCTCTTTCCTGTTGACGTCCACCTTTAAACCAATCAGCACGTTGGAAAGAATCACTTTAATGATAAATGTCATGAATTCTTCACAGGAACAACAATAGTGAGTGTTGCAGAGAGGAGCAGCATCACTCTGAACTGTTCTCATGATGTTGGAGGATCAGCTGTTCCCACGTGGAGACGAGACTCTGGAGAAATAAATGAAGGAAG